TCCGCTGCTTCTGAGGCTGCTGGCAGACATTTCCGTTTCTTTTTTTTGTTCGCACAGCTCCCGGGGCTCAGCTTTGGATTTGGCCCCGCCTGTGCGTGGAGGTTGCCGGAGGGTGTCTGTTCTTCGCTCAGACAAGACGGGGTTAAAGGAGCAGGTGACTTGGGGTCTCTGGCTCACTGAGGCCGGGGGGAGGGAGGGTTACGGATGCGGGGCAAGCCTGCAGCGGCAGAGGCCGGCATGACGTTGCAGCAGCCTGAGGCGCGCCGTGCGTTCTTCCAGGGAAGTTGTCCCTGGATCCCGGGACCCTGGCAGTCGCGGGCTGCACAGGCTCCCCGGAATGGAGGTGTGGATAGTGACCTGTGCTCGCACACAGGCTTCTTGGTGGCTGCAGCAGCAACCTTAGCATCTCCTGCCCCTCTCTGGGGTCCGCGCTGTTAGCCGCGCCTCACACCCATCTCTGGAGCTCCTTTAAGCAGCGCTCTTAATCCCCTCTCCTCGAGCACCAGGAAACAAAGAGGGAAGAAAAAGTCTCTTGCCTCTTAGGCAGGTCCAGACTTTTCCCGGACTCCCTCCCGTCTTGCCGTGGTGCACTAACCCCCTACAGACTGTGTTCACGCCGCCAACCCCAGTCCTCTCCCATCGCTCCAACCGGAGCCTGAGCCTCAGCTCCAGCTCCGCCTGCCCCGGCGGGTGAGCAGACAAGCCTCTCGGGCTGGTGAGTGCCGGTCGGCACCGATCCTCTGTGCGGGAATCTCTCCGCTTTGTCCTCCACATCCCTGTTGCTCTGCTCTCCTCCGCGGCTTCGAAGCTTCCCCCCTCCGCCACCCGCAGTCTCCACCCGCGAAGGGGCTTCCTAGTGTGTGGAAACCTTTCCTCCTTCACAGCTGCCTCCCAGTGGTGCAGGCCCCGTCCCTATTCCTTTGTCTCTGTTTATTCTTTTTTCTTTTGCCCTACCCAGGTACGTGGGGAGTTTCTTGCCTTTTGGGAGGTCTGAGGTCTTCTGCCAGCGTTCAGTAGGTGTTTTGTAGGAGTTGTTCCACGTGTAGATGTATTTCTAGTGTATCTGTGGGGAGGAAGGTGATCTCCGCGTCTTACTCTTCTGCCATCTTCCTCCGACTGAGACTCTTTCATATTTTTTTTTTTTTAAAGCTGTACATATTTTAAATTTATTGATTTTAGGCTGCATTGGGTCTTCATTGCTGTGCGCGGGCTTTCTCTAGTTTCAGTGAGCGGGGACTACTCTTCGTTGCGGTGTGCAGGCTTCTCATTGTGGTGGCGTCTCTTGTTGCAGAGCACAGGCTCTAGGTGTGCGGGCTTCAGTAGTTGTGGTAAGTGGTCTCAGTAGTTATGGCTTGCGGGCTCTAGAGCGCAGGCTCAGTAGTTGTGGCTCACAGGCTTAGTTTTTCCGCAGCATATGGGATCTTCCCGGTCCAGAGCTCGAACCCGTGTCCCCTGCATTGGCAGGCAGATTCTTAGCCACTGCGCCACTAGGGAAGTCCCCGTATTTTTATTCTTCATTCTTATTTTACCACCTTATCCCTTTTGTAGACTCTTAACATTTTAGCAGTTGAGTATGTTCTCTTAACTAATTTTATTCATCCTTTTTCTTTTATCCTACTTTTAAAAAGGACAGGTAAAAGAGGACAATGGTAAGAAGAGATTATATTCTTTCCTTTGCAGATGGCCTTGGAAAGTTCCTAAAAGAGTTCTTTTAATAGTCATCTCCCAGTCACTACCCATGATTTTCATTCTACCTAAAGAGTTATTTTCTTAAAATATCTTTACTTTTCATGCAGATGATAGTAAGCCTCCCTATTATCCACATAACTGAATTGCATCTTGTCTTTTTAAAAAAAATTTTTATTGCAGTGTAGTTGCTTTACAATGTTGTGCTAGTTTCTACTGTACAGCAAAGTGAATCAGCTATACATATACATATATCCCCTCTTTTTTGGATTTCCTTCCCATTTAGGTCACCACAGAGCACTGATTAGAGTTCCCTGTGCTATACAGTAGGTTCTCATAGTTATCTATTTTATACATAGTATCAATAGTGTATATGTGTCAATCCCAGTCTCCCAATTCATCCCACCCCCACCCCCCTTTGCATCTTGCCTTTTTTTTTTTTGCAGTACACGGGCCTCTCACTGTTGTGGCCTCTCCTATTGCGGAGCACAGGCTCCGGACTCGCAGGCTCAGTGGCCATGGCTCACAGGCCCAGCCGCTCCACGGCATGTGGGATCTTCCCATACCGGGGCACGAACCTGTGTCAGGCGGACTCTCAACCACTGCGCCACTAGGGAAGCCCTTTCCTTTTTTTATGTTGTGAGTTATCCATCTTTTCATCAGACATAATCTAAAAGATAAGAATGAGACTAGATTGAAATAGTCTTGGTCAGGGGATGAAAACCTGAGATTGAGATGAGGACAGGGTAGTTTAAAAACTCAGATTTAAGGTAGATTGTCCTTAAAATTTGATAAAAGAGAAAAAGGCTGTTATTCCAGAGTTGAGCATCTATATTCTGAAAAATTAACTTGTGTAAAAAATATTGCTTCAGTGTTTTTTAACACTCATTTCTTAGATTAAAATCAGTGTTTGTAGATAATTTGGGTTTTGGAAAAGTCATTTTAGTATCTACACATTTAAATTAAAACTACTTATCTTTGAAAAGAGATTGTAACTTTTTAACAAGTTTTTAGTTCCAAAGGTATATTATTCAGAAATGCACTACGCTTAAACCCTAAAGTTTCATAACCAAAATGTAACTCAGGAGAGCATGCTGGTCATAAGATAGGATTGCCCCTATAAGATCCTTAAGAGCCAGTTTATCTAATCTTAAAGATTTCAAGTTGGGTGTTTAATCTAGTTCATTAACTATTGATTAAACGTCTTACTTAAAGCTGTGCAGAACTCCAAAAGAAGTATAGAACCTGGTCTTACATAACAAATCAGAACTCTTTCAGTTGCAGTTATCAGAGCCTTAACTTGAATTAACTAAAGCCAAAACAGATAAGTTATTGACCCCCAGTGAAAGCAGAGGCAGCTCTGGCCTCAAGGAACCTGGATGCTTGCAAGTGTGTCTGCCCCTGATTGCTTGTCTCTCTAGTCCTTTGACTCCTTGTTGCTTGATTGCTCTTCCTCCCTCTCTCTCTGTGACACGTTCTGTCACAGGTCATCTTTGTTGCATATGCTGTGCTTTTTCCATCTCTGTCCTGCATGATATGTTTTTGTTTTTTTGCTTTGTTGCTCTGCGTCTGTCTTGTTCTCTTTCTGTGTCTGCTCTCTTGTTCAATGTCCTTCCTCCGCATTCCCCTGCCCTTTTCTCTGCCAGTTGATTCCATTTTCTCCCACCACAGAAAGGCATTCCCATGTGGCTGTAGGCTGTTCTGCCTCACATTCTTCCAATTCATCAACCAGAGGAGAAAGGATGCTCTGCCCTCCAGCTCCAGTTATAAAAATCCAGAGCAAAGGACTTTCTCCCTTAGCTTCCCTAGCCAGGAACAGGGCACTGTTTCCCTTTGAAATCTCTGGGTTAAGTGGGAGAGGAATATCAACTCCCTAAAAGAAGGAAGAACCTCTTCTGGGCAGACAGAATAGCAAATGTTCAACACAGGAGATGAGACTTAAATATTTGAATGAAGGTTCCATAGTTTTCAATAATCCTCATGTATGAGTGCTTGTTTATTATGAAAGTTCTGTACGTTCTACTCAGTTTTTTCTGTATCTGCTTTAGTATTCATGCTTTTTCATTTATTATAATATGAATCAACTGAGTATAATATTTAGAAATATTGCCTAATAATGCACTTCAGGACAATTTTATTTTGTCCTGAACTACAAAAAGTAAAAAATACAAAGTACAAAAAGTAAATAAATAATTTTATTTATTTTATTTGTTTTCTATGAGTAACATTTAAATTCACAGTTTTTTAAAAATCTGCTAGTTCTTTTACAACTATCTGAGACTAGTATGTTTGCAAAGTTCAGGTTGTAAGTATAAGTTTATTTTTTTAAGATTGCTTAGAGCAGTGGTCCCCAGCCTTTTTGGCACCAGGGACTGGTTTCTTGGAAGACAGTTTTTCCACAGACGGGGGCGAGGGGCTTGGGGATGGATCAGATGGTAATGCGAGCGATGGGGAGCGATGCGGGGTGGCAGCTCACCTCCTGCTGTGCAGCCTGGTTCCTAACAGGCCACAGACCAGAACCTGTCTGCGGCTGGGGGGTTGGGGACCCCTGGTAGAGTAACCTTGGCTCTTCTTTGCTTACTGTTAGATTCAACAATAAGGTATTGGAAAGAGATAAGTATTTGTTCAGTCCTTCACAGTTGTTGAATTTTAGCACTTTTCAGTACTACTCTTTACCTGTTTTATACTTCTGTTCTTAATTTACATGACTGTCTACACTACTAGACTCTAAACCTAGTGCTGAAAGAATAATACCTTATTTATAACACCCAGCATATAAGAACAAGGTACTCCTAAAATGATTGTTGGTAAACTGTCTTTCTCTTTCTTGCACTTTATATTTTAGGAAATGTACTTTTAAGGAATACAAGTGTTTGTTGGAAAGCAGGTATTAATACATTTAGTGATGTTTGAGTCTCTTGACCATTTTATACATACTGGCTTAGATTTGTCAATTTAGATGTCACACTGAAATGATGACTTGTATTTTAGGCAGAGAGAAACCTTTTATAAATAAGGAGCATTTTTTTTTTTTTTTTTTTTTTTTGGTA